ATTTGGATGCATATGGTATCAACATCTTCAAAATTATTTAATTACAAATAATTTTATAAGTAATCCACTAATCCTTTGTTTGTTTATCAAACGAGATAAAACTCGTTTTGTGATCATCGCTGTATACGTTGATGATCTTAACCTAGTGGGCACTACATCTGCATGTATTACAGCTACTAACCTACTTATACGTGAATTTGATATGAAAATATCAGAAAAAATAACTTTCTCTATTGGTCTTCAGATTATACATTTAACAGATGATAGTATTTTTCTCTACCAACTGACGTATATTAGACGAATCTTGTGAAGATTTAATATGATTGATGCTTATCCATTGTCCACACCAATGGTTGGACGTGGTCATAATGGTCATGATCCATACTCTACATATAAGGAGGAGGAGGAAATATTGGGAGATCAATATCCATTCCTTGCAGTGGTTGGAGCACTTTTGTATTTAGCTACATCTATAAGACCAGATATTGCATTTGCAATTAGTGTTTTTGCAAGATATAGTATACGTCCAACACTATGACATTGGAATGGCATCAAACATTTATTACATTTTTTAAAAAATACTGAAGACTTGGGATTATACTACATACAATCCGGAGATCCAAAATTGGTTGGATATTGATATGCAGGGTATAAATCTAATACTGCAACAGCTAAATCTCAAACAAGACATGTATTTTTAAGACATGAAGCTACAATATCATGGAAATCAGTGAAACAAACAATAATTGCAACTAAATTCAACCATGCAAAAATTATTGCCTTATATGAAGCATCTCGAGAATGTATTTGGTTGCAATCAATTGATAAATTCATTCAAACAATCTGTGGATTTTCATATGATGATTCTCCAACTATCTTGCATGAAGATAATAGTGCTTGTATTGTACAGATGCAAGTTGGTTTCATTAAAGGCGACATGACAAAGCATATTGATCCAAGGTATTTTAGTTATACTCATGACTTGATTATTAATCAAGCACTTATAATTAAGAAAATTGAATCTACAAATAACCTTGCTGATTTCTTCACCAAAGCTCTCTCATTGTGCAACCATCGTCAACTTACTTATGGCATTGATATGCGGCAACTTGCTTTTCTTGAATAAGAAAGTTAATGAGCTCTTTAAGTAATTAAAGAAAATAATGTATTCTTTTTCCTTAATCTATGGTTTTGTCCTTAAATACAATAAGGTTTTCCAAGCTAAGGTTTTAATGAGGCAACAATTGCTGATCTTGCAAGATCACAAAAAAGTATAGATTATAATTCTATAAAAATTTTATATTATGTAAATATTATGATGAGCAAAGAGGAGTGTTGAGATCATTAAATGTAGCCTGCGCTCTCTATAATATTTATTGTAGACTACAATAAATACTATAGCTATAGTATTTAGAGTCTAGTGGAGAAGTATTGTTTATCTTCTCCCCTTTTTCTTCTTGTATACAAGACACAAACAGATCAATAGATTTTTATGTATGAAGCTCTCTCTTCTTAGAAACCCTCTTGTGTGTATAACTTAGTACTACTCTTGTGTGTATATATTACTTACTATTATTCTTGTATCTTTCTAAATATTCTCAATACAAACTATATCCTATTGAGTTCTCATTTCTATTATTTTCATTTGTAAGGTAGATTTTAATAGAGTGTAACTTAAATTTTGAGTATATCCAAATTACTACTCTACTTTTTGTTTATTGTATAAAGGAGTGTGCTATTAGAAGGGATTTTAGTTTTTTGTTTGATTGAAAAATCATGTGTGTGTTTTTAGATTTTATTTGACATCTATAATTTAATTTATTTCTTAAAAAGATTGAAATTGTATTCAAGTTATTTCTAGATTATTTTTCTTACTTCTTACCTTCTTTGTATAAACTCCACAATACTATTTTAGATAAAGCGATGTAAATATGTGCCATTTCATATGTTGTTATCAAAGATAATGTTATTCTCTCAAATTCAAATAATCTAATTAAAAATAAATAAATAAAATTTATATTATGTTAATTTTCTTTTAATCTTTGGAACAAACATTTGACAACTATTGTTTGTTTTCAAAATATAGATTTCCAAAAATATTCCCTCTTCTCTCAAAAAAATTGGATTGTATTTTTTAAAATAAAAAATAGATTAACTTTATCAATGTTTTGCCATAAGAAGTTCTTTAACTTATATAAGATAATATATATATATATATATATATATATATATATATATACATATATATATTATTCTAATTATAAATTATAATATCTTAGTATTGATTATTTATTTATTTATTTATTTTTATTATTTGGTATTTATATCAAATCTCTTTATATATAAAAAAAAATTAAAATTGAGTTAAAATTTTTATTTTGAAGAGATTGAATATTTTCTTTTATGCTTTGGTTAGATTAGTATTTTATCAAGTTTAAAAAGTTGAATATATTTTCTATTCTTGAATATCATTTTATTATGTTTACTACTATGATATTTTGTGCTATTACAAGAACTCATATTTTCATGCTTGTTCACATAGACTTTAAAAATATATATTTTTTTAAAAAAAAATATCATATATATTTCTAAAATATGTTGAAATATCAAAAATATCCATATGTTCTTGATGATAAGAAATGTATTCATCACTTTTGTGATAACATCAAAGTTCTTGCTTCAATCTAAAATAAATAGTGGTTGAATTGCATTTACCTCACTATATATATGGTAAAAATCTTAGAGAAAAGGACAAGAAATTTCCAAAATTTTTGAGAAAATAAAAGTAAGTAATACAACTCAAAACACACTCTCCTAACTTTTCATTAATTTCAATTAGGAAGTTTCCAAATAAAAAACCACTATGCTCATAAACATGTCATATTTCCATTCAAGTCAAATAGTAGCATCAAATGATTTATAACTATTTATTATAGTTTTTTTAGATCTTTCATCATTGCATAAATAACTTATTTTATTATAAGAATGATCGTTAAATTGATCAATTCTTTGACCTTACATTTAGTTCAAATCTAATATTTTTCAGTGTTTGAATTCCATTGAAGTTTTAGCAATTTTTGTAGATTCTTATTTGTGAGCAATTCATGGCAAAAAGCACTGAAGATTTGAAGCTATGGAATTTTAACTCACCATTAAATGGTCTTGGTTTTATATCTAAGTTTTACAAAGGATGTTGAATTCTTGCATTGTACTCATGCTTTTAAGTCATTTGTATTAAAAGAATTTTATTTATGTTTTAAATGATATGTCAAAGTAGAAATTCTTCAATTCCAAACAAAGTCTTTGGTAACTTAAAAACTCTTGTTTGAAGTCTTTAACTTGGTTATCAATATTACAAACTAAGAAAGATATATGTTTTTGTACTAACAAAAATTAGGCAATGCAAGAGTTAGAAGGAAAGGCATGAAGTAATATGATATTAGTGAGACAAAATGAAATTCTTCTTAAAACGTCAAAGTGTGAAGGTAGGATATTATGTTAAATATGTATTGTGGCTTGAATTCAATAACATAGTTGCTAGCTGTATTAGAAGCTGCAAAAATCACATGTACATATGATTTTTTGTTCTTTTGAACAAAATTCTTAGAGACATAAATCTCAAGTTGATGAAGAGGGTCCACCAATTTCTTTACAACACATAAATTGAGCTCCACTTGAACTTAAAAAAAAAATAGTTGTGATATCTTATTAGATTGAAGGATAGATTTGATATTATAACAAAAGTGAGGGGTTGATTTTCTATTATCAAGAATATAAGAATATTCTTGATATTTCAATATATTTCAAGAGTATGTATATGATATTTTTTTCCTAATTCTCATAAAAGGCATAGAATTGAGTTTCTATCTAAAAACCATTTATTTCACATAATAAAATCAAGATTTATATATATATATATATATATATATATATGTTGATGCATATTTAATTCTTTAAAAAATATATCTAAGAATAATTTATCATCTATAAAAAACATCATATTTTAAATTACATATCATTTATCTTATCTTCTTAATTTTATTAAAAGATTTTTTATATAATTTTTTGTTTCATAATCTAAATAAGAATTGATTAAATTTTATCAAAAAATAAATTTATTTTGAAATAATATCAAATATTTTTTTCTATTTTAAAGTCAATTTTTTACATCTGTATATTAAATATATATAGTAAATTATAAAAATATATATTTTTATTTATTTTCCTAAATTAAATTGATATAAATTTATTGGGTCTAATAAACTAAATTCTACCAAAAATAAAATAATAATCCAGGACCTGCCATGAACGTGTGAAGCGAATAGCTGTATCGATGGGCAAAAATTGATGAGGAGTATGTGCTGGAGACGTGCCAAGGCTAGCTTGGTATTGACAGCATTTTCGATGCTTGAATGAATCGGACAATTTGTATGGCCATATGTTGCTAGAATTTTCTAGAATCCACCCCAACTGGATCTAATCCCAAGCTGTTGATCTACTTAAGTGCATGAGTGATCATCAAGTAAAGATGTACTACAGTGACGTATGATGTTATTAAACTACAAAAACCTGTACACTCTTGTGTGTATGACTTACTACTACTCTTGTGTGTGTATTACTTACTATTACTTTTGTGTCTTTCTAAACACTCTCAACAAAGACAACCTTGGAGTGTCTTTTTACAACTCATGTGTTCCATTCTCCAAATAGTTACATTTATTTATTTAAGAAAATATGTCGAAGTGTTGAAAAATAAGATAAAAGAAAAGATAAAAGAAAACAAATGTTTATTCGAAGAAATCTTTCACAGTAAGTCCAAAAGGCGGTCATTTATCCCTCCGTTTAAAGGGCCAAAGGCGAAAAAGATGCAGCCTCTTAAAGGCAAAGATGGGGTGTGCCACAAAGCGGGGGATGGAGAAGCCGGGTCCGGCGACCGGGTCCCGTCCGTCATGGGTGTGGTGGGAATGGTGGGTCGGGTAGACCATATTAGGGTTTAGCCCGTCCAGCCCCCCCTTTTCCCCCCGACGCCCTCGTCTCGACGTCTCTCTCTTGCTCTTGTGTGTGCTTGTCCTTCATCGCACGCCGCAAACATGGCCCCTAAGAAGAAAGAAGCGCCCCCTGCATCCAAGCCCGCCAAGAGCGGCGGTGGTGGCAAACAGAAGAAGAAGGTGATGTACCCTTCTTTCTTTTTTAGGAGAATGTCTCTGAAGCTTTTGATAACGTCCGTGGACCGTGTTGGGTGTTAGTTGATCGGGGAGTGTAGGAAGTATGCCCTAACAGTAGCCATGGTTTCTCTTCACGCAGAAGTGGAGCAAGGGGAAGCAAAAGGAGAAGGTCAACAACATGGTCTTATTCGACCAAGCAACCTACGACAAGTTGCTGTCGGAGGTGCCCAAGTTCAAGCTGGTCACTCCCTCCGTGCTCTCTGACCGACTTCGTGTAAGTATCTGATTGTGTTCTGGGTTCCAATTGATTCAGGGCAGCCTATATCTGTGCCACCTCAGCTAGATCGAAAGTCTTATATTGTGCTCGTTTCAGTTGTGGAAGTGGAAGGCATCGCTAGCTTAGGTCTAGGGTATCTGGGTCTAAATCATTAGTGTGTTAGTTGCATTTAGGGATGTAGTTGTGAACACTCTTGCTGTATGATAGATTTTAGATCTAATGTAAGTGTTTTCGCCAGCCTGGATCGATTTAGTCAATTTCAGATCCAGGGGTATGACTGTTTTTGCTGCGTGCAGTGACCTCACCTGCTTAATCCACCCCAATTTCACTTATGCTTAAATCTTTTGTTACTACGTTCGTGGATTGTTTTTGGACTAATGGTGCATTCTGTATGCAGATCACTGGATCTTTGGCAAGGAAAGCTATCAAGGAGTTGATGGCTAAGGGCACTATCAGGCTTGTTGCTGCCCATGCCAACCAGCAAATTTACACTAGGGCTACCAACACCTAGGTTTCTGTTACGGGTTTTGCTTGAAATGTCGTGTGGAGAACGTCACTCCGACTTGCAAGCTTGGGGTTTCGACTGCCTTATAATGTTGTATCCGAATTTAATATTATGCCCCAGGGTTTTGCGGTCTCGTCATGGTGACTCCTGCCATTCGATCTGTACTTTCGAGTTCATTATTTGCACTCAAGGATACTAGCTTGTGCACAACCTGTTCTTGGAATGAGAGATGCATAAATGATGTGTCAAGAATGACATCAAATCCTATTAAATCATGTCATGAGTTTGTCGAGATTGTTGGCGGTCATCCATACCAGCCTGAACATAACTTCCGCGTCCTGTGCAATTGGTGAAGGCGATATGTATAAAATAGGAGTCGGTTCTTGTTGCGTTTCAGTGTCATAATTCTTCCTGTGCGTGCCTTGCCTTCCTCTAGTGGGCGTGTTCTTCGTGAAGGATTTGTATTGTAGTTCAGAGTTTGAATGTGAACTCGTAACCCATGCCCATGGGACAAAAGCAGCTAATTAGCTCAACAGCAGTTGTTTACTACAGCGATCAAACTAGCAAAGTCTATATAATGCTGTGTAAGGTATACTTCTTATTGATAAATATCTCATGTCCAAGCACCAATTCCATATACTGAAGAATTCTACAAACTAACTGTGACACCAAAACAAGCACCAAAGACAGAACTTATAGGATAATGGAGATCCTACATCTATCGGAGGATATCCAATGGATTGACTAAACTTGTAGGCTTATCAAAACATTGTCTAATAATTTGTTTTGTGAATATATCTACATGTTCCAATTTAGTGACAATATCTTTCAAAGAGACTTTTTCTTCAAGAATTTGTTCTTGTACAAAGTGATGCTTTGGTTAGATGTACTTAGTCCTTGCATAAAGTCTAGGATTTTGAACATGACAAATTGAGTCCATGTTATTGCAGTTAAGATTAAAATTGTATAATGTGGAAATGCGAGCTTCAAAAAAATCAAACTAAATTAATTCATTTGACAAATGTACTAGTATCTTAGATGGAAATAAAATGTATATTTTAATAAGCAACCTTTGCAAATAAATTGCTTCTTTAGTCATGTCTTATATAATGTCTTATATTAGTGAAGAATAGAAGTTTACCACCATCATACAAAATTGAGTAGTCCTAATTAATGAGGCCTTTGTGTTAAATTAAGTGATGAATCTCTTTAATAGGAAAGTGTGTTCACATAATCAATTTGTAATTCTATATTCATCCAACATTTCTTGAAGATAAAAACATTGACAAAGCAATATTCTATTATAATGTGTTCAAATTCAACTCCCATTATTTTTGGATTTCTCTTAGGTCCTTCATCTTATACTTGTTTTAGAGCTGTAGTTTAATTTTGACAATGTATTTATTATTATTTCTAGTAATGAGAAAATCATCAACATAGAGAAGAATAATTACATTAGAAGCACTTTCAATAGAGTGGTAGAGATTAGAATATGATTTATTATATATCTAATCAATGCTCAAAGATATATGTCAATTTCTTTATACTATACAATGGTAATTGCTTTAGTTTGTAAATAGATCTAAACAATTTGCATAGAAGGTGCTCTAATCTTAGTGGTTCAAATCTAGTTGATTGCTACATGTTCATTAATTCTTCAACATTTTATTTAGGAATGTAGTGACTACATCCATGTGATTAATGCTCCAATTTTTTGAGATGTTAAATACAATATTTGTCCTTAATATGGACTACCTTATTATAAGTGCAAATATATCATTATAGTTGATACATTCATATTGTTCAAGGCCTTGAGCAATAAGAGAAGCCTTTAATTTAGTCATTATCAAATATCTTTAATTGTTAATAATTTGACCTTGAACATCCATCTACATGAAATAGCATGTTTCCTTAGTAAAACCTTAGTAAAGGCCAAAGTCTTTTTTTTTATGAAAAAGTCAAATTCTTCTTGTATGGCCACTTTTCATGATAGATCATTCAATACCTCTTTAAGCTTTATGTCATATATCTGCATAGTGAAGAATGTACAAATTACAATCTTCAAAATTGCATAGAAGAAATACTTTATTTACTTTGGATAGAACGTCATGTTAGTTGAACTTTGATTTTTAGTGGGAACAACATGTACAATAGTAGGTGCAACTTCAACCTTTTCTAATTCATCCACATTATCTTGGTTCAATTGAGTTTAATTTATACCTTAAGCTGATTTGTTTTCATACATATTTGTTGCTGCTTCTATTTTAGATTCTAGAACCTCTTCAAATATTTTAATAAGAGATAGAAAATTATCAAAGAAATTAATAAGAGGTAGAGATGAAGAAAAATTATTTAGGTGGTATTCAAAGAAAGACACATTTGAATTAATGAGGACTTTGCTTTGAACTGGATTGTAGCAGTAATATCCCACAGTGACAAAATTATTTTCAATAAATATACACTTGATTGCCTTAGCTTGTAGTTTGTATCAAAACTCATGTCATATATGAATATTAGATATACTCCTAAAAATACATAAGTATAAAAGATCAAGACAATATCCATATAGCATCTCAAATAGTATCTTATTAATAAGAGTCATAATAGAGTGTCTATCAAGCATGTAAGTGGCAACTTGCATAGATTTAATTCAAAAAATATTGAAATTTTTCTATAAAATAAAATATTCTATGTTGCTTCTAATAATGTCTTGTTCTTTTTCTCTATAATACAATTTTGGTGTAGAATTGATAGAATTGTGAGTTAATATCAAATTTCATAAGAAAAACATAAGTGAAAAAATTAAATCAAAAGATATTCTCTTTCTTTATCTATACAATATCATGGAATTTGGTGCCCAAATTCTTTGTCAATCATAAGTTAAAAAGATTTGAAGTATTAAAATGTCTTGTTCTTTGCAGCAAGAAAATAGATAAATATAAATTTAATGAAGTTTTTTATAGAAATATATATATATATATATATATATATATATATATGTGATTGTAGAAGACTATATAAGTTATTGTAAAGAAGTTCTAATAGACATGAAACAATAGATCTAACTTGTTTTAAAATTCTTTTTTTGTAACTCTTGTCCATAATAAAAAATATATAATTTTTTGTAATAAATGGTAGTATGGATACTCCAATAATTATTTATCTTATAATCATATGATATATTATTTGATTATTAAGATGGTTAAATCTTCTATGTCATAAGTCATATAGGTCCATGGAAGTATATTGAACCTCATTGATTCTAATAACATAAACAAGGTGTTTTAATTTTTTATAAGATATTCCATAATTATTTTTAAGTAGTTGAATATTTACTTTGGAATCCAACAAAGTAGTATGCAATTTATACAAGTTTTTGTATTGGTCACAAATATTACAAAAGATAATACAATTAGGATTTTTAGTATCATAGACAATATATGATTTTGATTTGAAGGTGGTAGAATATCTAATACTTGCCAATTTTTCTATAGACATAAGATTGCAATACAAATCAGGCATGTATAAAACATTGGATAAGACTTTATTATTGACAATAGAAATTCTTTTACAAAATATAGAAAGTGTAGCCTCTTTTGTAGTAGTAACATCAATATTGGAGGAAGTGCTTTGCTTCAAGTTGTTTAGTAAATCTTGCTTTCTTATAATATGATTGGATACAAAAAAACCCATGAACCATGATGGAATGAAATATTTAATAAGATTAGTTTCAAAATGTTTATTTAATATGTAATAACCATCCTTGTACTAACTACATAAAATTGTGAAGGATTATACATTTTAGTGAGATGAACTTGGGTCTAAGAGTATTCCTTAAGGAAATGGATAGCAATGGCATGAGCTTGAAATATGATACTTTGTTTGTCAAATTGTTTTAATTCACATTGAATTTTTTAGTTTCCAAGCTTGTTGCAATAATGGCACGTACTCATTTGATGACAATCACAGCTTGTGGTATAATAGTTATTTTAACTACCACAATTTTTATATCCACGTCTTCAAAGACCATGATCTTAGTAGCCAAACATTTTGAGATTGTCGAATTTAGCTATATATATGGCTTCTTTAATCATTTAACCTTAATGACCGGACATTTTGAGGTTGTAGAATTTGATTGTGTATATGGCTTCTTCAATCATTTGATCTTGATGACCAAACATTTTGAAGTTGTAGAATTCAATATTATACATGGCTTCTTTAATCACTTCTTCATAACAACTTTTCTTCTAATCTTTTTTAGTTTGTATATGTTTAATCAATGTGGTGTATATATCAAAAGAATCTTAGTTAGATCTATACTAAATTGTAAAATAAAAGTTTCTTAATTCTTAAAAAATCCTTTCAAAACTATATACATATCTTTTATAGGATCCATTCCAATATTAATACTAACAAGTTTGAAAGTCAAATCTTTGATGAGTTTGAAGTAGTCTTCTACAGAGGTTCTTTTAGCCATCCTAATATTTTAGAGTTGTCATTTGAGAAGCAACTATTACTAAAGTAAGTCACTACTATAACATTGTTTAAAATGAATCCAACATCAAAAAGCTCTATGTGAAAGGCTTCAATAATGGTCAAAAACTTGTCACATACTATAGCTATAAAAATGGAGATGGCTTTGACCATCTTTGTCTTTTTATCCTAAGTAACCAATTATATAGGAAGCTCTTCTTTTTTGAAAAAATAAACATCAATTCTAGTAGCATTAATGATAGTTGATATTATTTCAAAGACTATTTCATCCCAAACTTCATCTTGTATAAATAAAATATTTACACAGATTCTTTAATTAATCTAATTTCTTATTCTATTAATCTTATTAAAATTAATAAATTAAATTATATTTTATTTTAAACTTTTGATTATATATTTTTCAAAGAAGTCAATGAAAGCATTTTATATATAAAAGCAAATATTTTAATAAACAAAGAAGCAAATGATATTATTCCAAATTTTTCTTAAAAAATAGATTAAAGCAATCAATAAAGATTCAAAGACAACCAAGTTCTTCATATCTTGTGGCTTTCTATTTGTTATTAAGCAATCTTGCATTGACACAATCTTTTACAATATATTCAATTCTCTCTACATGTACTTTTTAGACTTATATAGACAAATAGAATCACTAGTTGCTTTAATTTTAATAATGGATTTATCTCAACAAAACTTTGTAGGCTTATCAACTTTGGTATTAGCCAAAACAATATATCTTGAGTCTTAGAAATAAAAACCAAGAAGTGA